CTTTGCCATATAATAAACATCTTATTAACCGAGCTAAGTCGGTCTGTACGGGAGAATCTTGACCTCGGTCATGTGTACAGACCTCATTGCGTTCAGTCTGTACTCACGACCTCAGTCAAGATTCTCCCATACAGACCTCCTGCTTGGTTAATAAGAGCTAAATATAAACCGTGCTACGTGGTTTATATAACATTTTCGAGGCCTGGCTACTAAGCTCGCCACCTTTGCCATCTCAGCAAGTAAACATGGTGGACAGTTGGTGGATGAATTTTTCATCTATTCAAAAGACATCACTCTAAGTTCAGGATATTTGAAAGGATGGAGAATTTTCAAAATGACTGTTGTCGTCCTTGGACCAAAAGTCCTTTCAAGAACTCATGTTCGAGGCAGTTAAGAATCATAAACGCAGTGGTTATGTTCAAGTTGATTGCCAGCAGGTCAGATCAATTGACCAAAATCTGTTTTTCTCCAAACTAAAGCTACTCATTTTGAGGACGATGATGACAACTGTGGATGAAGTCAACAGTGATAAAAAAAGTACCGAATGAATTTATTTTTCGTAGTGTTTTGCTTGTTTGTTTTACTGCCGAACTCGTTGAGTAAACTGATTCACAATCAATGTAAACTTACATGTAAGCTTCTTATTAAAACTATACGGCTGCATACGTGTATGCAAACGAACAATTGTGTCCCTGTTTTTATGTTTCAGTCTGTTATTCTCTCTTATTCAGTTCTGAAATTATAGTAAAACAATTATTCACCTCAGGCTCAGTGAATATTGTCGAATAATCCCCTCAACTTCGTCTCAAGGATTATTCGACAATATTCACCACGCCTTCAGCGCATAATTGTTAATTAACAAATTGACATCAGTTTTTTATGCCTATGTCCTCTTATTGATGATAAATTGCAGCATAACATTATCAAAGTGGCTGTGGAACCATGAGCAGGCGAGTGGTTCCACAGTAATCTTTGACAATGTTATGACGAAATTTCTCATCAATAAAAGAACAGACTCATAAAAAACTGATGTCAATTTGTTTTTTACAATAACAAGACCCCGAACTGGTCAAATGCTGAGAATAAATGTGGGAAAAGACACATAAACTTGCCGTAAACAAAGATAAGTGAATTTTATTCAAACTGACACAAACATTGTCAATAGCTTTTCTCTCGTTTTGATTGGCTACTTAAGAAAGTCCATAAAATCTCATAGGTTAAAAACTTGACAGTTTGACAGCTGAAATTTGAACTTAAAGCTTGCATAAATTAAAATTTTATCCGTCTTGTCATCTTATTGATGATAAAAATGATCCAATCAGCGCGCAAGAAATTAGACAGTTATTGTAAAGTTATAATTGGTTCAGCAAGGCACTTTGGTTTAACGTTAGTCTGTATTGTTTGAAACAATCATCTATCATTGAAACGTTTATTTCACTGTCTCGATTCTGTTAGTGTTTAAGATAATGTCTAGCACCAAGACCTGTACGATTTCCTGAATCTTAAATCATTCTAAATACTCTCCATGTCACAAATGTGGCAAACTTTCCCTGACGTACCTGTGTGCGGAAGTATCTGAATCACGACCAAATAAAAG